GCCCCCCCCCTCCCCCTTCGCTACGCTACTGTACTACGTAGACATACATGCGTAGACATAGGACGGTATTCCCTCAGGAGAACACGGAAGGGACTGACTGACCTAAGAGGTTTCACCCTTGCTTTCCCTTAATTTTCCTCCTCCTTTTTACTTGGAGAATGGAAAAGATGGTCCCGGCCTGCCTTGTTGCACATAAGACTATTGGATTAATCTGATAACATGTGTTCCCTGGGTTCTCAACCCAGAGCACTATCGAGCGGCAGAGGTGATAACTTTTTTCCCTTTATTCGTAAGTCATTTAAAACTAGATACGGAGTAAAACTAAATGAGCAATGACTTTTGTGAATATATAGCTCTGAAATATTAATCTCGGCCGTATCAAATCCATTGTTTAGCTTTGAAGTAGATTATGCACTATATTTAAATAATCTCAATTATCTCATAATTAGCTAGATAGATTTTTTCAAAAATCTCTACAAATGGAGGAATCTGGAAGTCTGCAAGTTGCTGGGGTTGCAAAACACGCGCAGGACTCTCAACAGTTCATGCGACCAGTTCTGGCATCCTTCTCGAGAGAACATCACCTGCATTTATGAAATGTCTATTTTGAAAGCAGGCTTTAGGTTTTGATTCCGAGTTTTGTTTTGCAAATGCTAATACCAGGACAAATATAATAGAAGAGAATTGTTAGCTTGTTAAAACATTTATTGAATTTCCATTTTTTGCTTTAAAATATCAATGAAGACGACAAAAGCTAGCAAATTCAAAGTTCACAAAAATCGTTTTACCAACAAGCATTATTTTGTATATATACCGTAAGAGTTTTTCCAAGTTTTTCCCCCTAAAAATCTTAGTGAAACTAAGGTGATCTTAAAGTTGAACAAACTAAAGTGACTGAAGTACTTAATCCAGCTTTATCAATACAATAAATGCAATATTAAGTTGTAACTAGTCAAAACGATTAAATCAAATTGACTACCCTAAATTAGCAGGATCCCCCTAGAGGGGGATGGTGTGTCATGTCTTGGACTATCTCAAGGTGTTGGAGTCAACCCAGCGGCTACGCAGGCAGCCATGCAAACTCCTTGTGCAGCATTGCAAGCCAAGATGGAGGCCGGGACACCAACTCCACCAGTGGTCACACCAGCAGTACCTCCAGCAGCAGAGACACAGGCAACCCAGACCATGTTACAGTCAGTCTGGCAGATACCATAAGCAACCAGACCACCATCAGCATCTTGAGGCTGCATGGAAAGGAACGCCAACCAAAGAATTACGGGAAGGAACCTGGACGGGAATAATAAAGATACTAACGTTTTAAAAATTACCAAAAATGTAAAAATTTCAAGCTAAAAGATCAGAAGAACACTACAAAGGTTACTTCCAGATCTTCAATGACAAGTCGTAATTAGTTTCAAGAAAAACAGAGCGTCACGTCCACTTGATTTCCAAGAAATTCTAAATATAAATTGCTTGCGTAATCAACTTTTA